AAAATTAACAATTAGTGACATTTTTTAATAGCGTTTGATGAAAATTGTCATTAATTATTATAGAATTTATTAGACAATAAGTTCACCTAACCTACACGTAAGTCTCTTGAAAAATTATTTACGTGGTGTTTTAATTTAGGCACGAACTTTGCTTCAGACCCCCAGTGGGAAGCACCCCCAGTGACCCCCCTAGTGCCACGTGTCGGCCTGGGTGGCTGAAAAAAAAAAAAAAACAAAAAAATTGTTTTTTTGGATCAATGGGAAGGGACCCCCAAATTGCGATAGTTCACAGATTATTCTGTAGGCACTATTTGGCATCCCCTATATTATTATGTTTTTTTTTATTTTTTTAGATCACATCACCTTTCTATTTTTTTACATATATTTTCGTAAAAAATTAAAAAATATACTTATTTAAATCATTCTAAATAATCTCTTAATTTTTATTAATTAATATAGTGAGATTTAGTACTTTTAATTGTTTATAATATTTGAAATAGATTTAATTACGATTTATTGCAAGATTAATTATAATTTTGTTCTAAAACTATAAATATATATACACGAAGAATTATATAAGAAAATGAGTGGCAAATAGGAGGAGGAGTGAGCTTGAAACACGCTTCTCAAATCTATTCCACTTTGCAAATTGGAAATTATTCAATCCATTTCCTTTTACTTATTAAATTATAGGGATAATTACCAGTTTTTTTTTTTACTTTTGGGTGAATAATAATTACTAGTGTTACTCATAAGTCCTGAGTGAAAACTTTTACATATTTGCTTCTCGTTTTGATTATGAGTTGGTTTGGAAATTAATTTTTTAATTTTTTATAAAAAAGTATAAAAAAAAATATACAAAGTAATGTGATAACTCGATGGAAAATGCTATAGACCCCAAACAAATTACCAAATAAATTACCAAACCTCTCACATGGGTGTGGGACCCACACACATGTGATTTGTGTGGGTCCCACACCCATGTGAGAGGTTTGGTAATTTATTTGGTAATTTGTTTAGGATCCCTAGCATAACTCTAACTTGATTTCATTTTTTTGACTATTTTAATAATAAGTCACTTCCCAAACAACCTTGCAAAAATTTTGATATTGTCTAGGTATGTGTTTTTATTTGTAGAATGATCATTTGATACTAGCAATTAATGACAATAAGAAATTTATCAAAATGATAAATAATTAAAATATTTTAACTTTTGCTTGTGAGTTCTGATGTATTTTTTTAATTTATTTGTATTAGTTCGTATTGAAATATGATTCGAGATGGGTACGTAATTATTTTTTAAAAAAAATTATAATTAAAAATTAAAATAAATAAATCCAACTCATAACTGCCCTTAAATTGTAATTCCCAAATCTAAAAATTATCACGGCCAGGTCATCAATCCGCATGCTCATCCCTACCGAGTCTCTCAAGCAAAAGTAGTAAAGTAAGTGTATCTTAAACGGTGTATCAATTTTTTCATTAAATTTGAAAAAAAAATTTAAGTAAAAGTTTTCTTTGATATCAAGTGCTCCAACGAAAGATTTTGGAGCTTCATCAGACCACCGGTCGACCGGGAGGACGACCTAGCGGATGTCTAGCCAGTGTAAATTTTTCATTTTTTTTTACCTTAAGGTGGTCATCCAGGAGGACATCCGAGGGGACATCCGGCAACGGCAATGAACAGTGATTTAATGAAAGAAAAGTTACTCAACAGTTTGATAAAAGAAAAGTGAAATCCTCGATTTAATACCGGTTTGATGAAACCGTTGAAGCCGAAAAAGGACACATTTTTCAACAAATTCAAATTTGATGATGAGTTTGATAAAGGGTTGGAGATGGTCTAAAAAAAATAAAATAAAATACATGCATATAATTAAATTATAAAAAATATATAAAAAAAATTATAATACCTAAATGAGAGAGAAATGACACATTGATTAGTCTCGTATTAAAATTCTATTACTACATATTATTTTAAATAAAATTTGAGAAAAAAAACATAAAGTCTAATTATACAAATAAAGGACTTTTAAAATTTTTGCTCATAAATTGTTCATTTTAAACTCAATTACGTTAATGATACAATTTTAAACTTATATAAATATTAGTAATTTTGACCTACATATTTCTATACTCAACATTACCCCTATAAATGCTCTCCAAAAATTAACTTTCTGCCAATTTTCCAAAACACCACCTAGTTTTGTCAAATACAATTGTGCCGAACAATTTTGTCATATGTTACAAGTTTTTGTGAAAAAATTATGTTCAAGTAACATTGTGTTCAAGTGTCTTCTCGTGGGCCCCAGTTCAAAAAAACAAACTCTTCCCGGGTTGCCTGGTGTGGGCTCTGCTGCAACTTCTCTTTGGGCCTCGCTTGCGGGGTGGGGCTTCTGGCCCGGGTGCGGTTGGGCAGGGGCTATCCCGCATCGGATAGCCTTTGGTGTGTGTGTGAGTATTTAATTACCATGGGAGGCCTTTGCAGCCAGCAATTGCCTGCAAAGTGTCTTCTCGTGGGCCCCAGTTCAAAAAAAAAAAAAAATTATAATAAAAATTGAGTGTTCATATATTCAAACAAAAAATTCTACATAAATAGTGTGTCACATTATATTCATTCATTTTATAGCAAGCAGGGCTGGGCGTGAAATTCGTAATTCGATCCAGTTCAGTCCAATTTTATAGGTTTGGATTGATTTTTTGAATTCATGGTTCGCTTCCGGATTAAACAATTAAAAATCTGTAGTCCACGGATTGGTTCCGGATTGGAACCGATCCGAACCGTATACAAGTAGTCCATATTTTTATTATACATCATCCCCATAGTATCTTCTCTTATTCCATATAAAACCTAAATTCAAACCTAAATCCGCATAATACCTTCTTTTATAACTTTTGTTTGTTAGTTTTTAATTTTAATTTGTAATGGTTTAAATACTTATGGTGAAACCAATTTTTTTATGATTGTTTAAATTCTAGAACAGTATGTCGCTATTATAGAAAGACATGCTGCTATTGTGGAACTAATATAGCGCTATGTTTATGTTTTTATGAAATTAAAGTGTTATATATACATTTTTTTGTTATTTAATTATGTGAATCCGTGGTCCTAAACCGATCCAATCCGTGTTTAAATGGATTGGTTCGGATTGGTTCCATGATTTAAACGGATTGGATTGGTTCCAATTTTTTAAGAACCGTAAATAGCAGATTGATCCTGATTTTACCCCCAATCCAGTCCAATCCGGACCATGCTCACCTCTAATACCAAGTGATTTGTGAAAGCGACTCTTAATCCCAAAAAAATGTGACTTTTTATTCCTTTTTTTGGGAAGAGGAATTGCACTTCAGTGCAAGTTTTCAAAAAAAAAATTACAAATAGATAGAAAATTTATCAATTTTAATAATTAAAGTTAAAAACTTTCCATAAATTTGTAAATTTTTGTAAAAATACAACTTATTTACAACTTATTTTTTTTAATTCCAAAAAGGAAGCACCTTATCCCTGGCTATGGACACTTCCATCTCTCCATCCCTTCCATCAAACCAACATAAAAATTATTAGATATTTTTAAAATACTATAATATACACATTAGGCTTAGGGTTGTTTCTAGTCTACTTTCCTAGATTAGAATATACTGTTTGATTTGTTATCCAAACCGTTCATCACGGAAGGTTGCCCGTCGTGAAAATTAACCACACAAAAAATTAAATTGATCAAGTAAAATATTATTCATAAAATTGGATCACAAAATTATGAAAAAAAAGAAGAAAAAAATATACAAAAAAAAAAAAAAAAAGAGAACAAATATGACATTTAAAATAAATTGTTTAATGTTTTTGTATAATTTGTAATCTAATCATATAGATACCTTCATGAACTAAATTTTTTCACATGAATGATATTTTCCACGAGCTTACATGTTGAACAAAATGTAATGAGTCCAAAATAGACCCAAAAAATGTAAATTGTGTCGTCCTTCCTGGACTAGAGTGAATCCTTACTCTATACATTATTTACGTTGTGCTTTGGACAAATTGAAAATTACAAATAAATCATAAATTTTATAAATATTAATAATTATATATATATTGTGAATTTGTAATAACTTTATCAAATTACCACTTAATAGTAATTTCTCCTAAAAATTTATGGATTCATAAATTCAATTCAACATGTCTCATTTAAAAAAATAAAACAGGACAAATTACAAAAATATCCGTTAAAGTTTTGCTTAAAATACTGATTATCTCCTATGATTTAGAAAATTACAAATGTCTTCTTATAGTAATTTTTTATTTAACAGAATTAACTGAAAAAATCAAATTTCTAATTGTTCTTTTGTACTATAATCAAATTACTTAAATTATTAATTAAAATAAATTTCCGACATCATTAAAAATTGTTAATAGGCATAATAATTTATTAATAAAATTAATAATTTGGTATGAAATTAAAAATAATATAATTCAAAACTATTGAAGCCAATCGCACTTTAAACAAATTTCACCAATAAAAAATAAATAAAAATTGGATCATGGGCGGTGTTTGAGAACTTGGTTTTGAGATTTTTTTTTTTTTTTTTTTCACTACAAGGCAAATGTTTTACAAAATCAAAAAAAAAGAAAATTCAAACAAAATATCACATCAAATCTCATAATGATTTCATTTTTTCTCTTACAAACATCATATCCAACTACAAAAAAACTTAACTATCTTTCCAAATATAAAAAAAAACTCACTTCCCAAACACCGACATATACGATAATGTCCCAACGCACTAAACATGTACATATAAATAGGAGTTGGCCTCCTAAACTCTTGTCTGAAAACACTTCACCTTCGCCGAACAACCTCTCTCTCCTCTCTCCTAAATTCAGATTACGTTTTACGACATAGAACAAATGCGGAGTACACTTGGCATAAACCTTAATCTCTGCTTCACCAAGATCAAACGTCCACCATCAACCGAATCATCATCATCATCATCATCATCACCATCATCATCATCATCTTCCACTACTACTCTAGAAGATCAGAGCCGTCCATTACCCATCTCCACCACCACCGCCTCATCAAATCTCATCAAAAACTTCAACTCTCTCCTCGATTCCACCTCCACCTCCCTCACCCACTTCTCCGACGACCTCTCTCTGTCCTCCGCTGCCGCCGCCACTCCCGACTTCGCCGCCGTCTTCGCCTCCCAACGCTTCTTCTTCTCCTCCCCCGGCCTCTCCAACTCCATCGTCGACTCATCATCATCTTCCTCCTCCTCCTCGTCATCCTCGTCGGTCAAGCTGCCGGAATCTGAAGTCATCGTCGGCGGCGGAGTTGCGATTCCGACGATTTCGCCGAACCCATTCAATGATTTCCGGCGATCGATGCAGGAGATGGTGGAGGCACGTGACTTGGTTGATGTTACGGCCAACTGGGACTACTTGCACGAGCTTCTGATGTGCTATCTTGCGCTGAACCCAAAGAGCACCCACAAGTTCATCGTCGGAGCTTTCGCCGACCTCCTCGTTTCTCTCATGACATCGCCGCCGTCCAAGAGTGCCGCTAGTTTGGAATCTGAGTTTTCCGGCGGTGGTTGTAGCATTTCACGGCGGTGCATGTAATGTATAATAATAATAATAATAATAATAATAATAATAATGTAATTAATGCATTGTTGCCTTAGTCTATATAGTTTTCTTTTAGTTCATAATTTATGGATATTAAATTGAATGTAGTAATATATAGAGAGGGAAATTATTAGATATTACTCTCAATAAATAAAAACTACAATATATGTCAGCTTTTAGTCATATTTTTAGTTAGATTTGAGTAAAATTTTAAATAAAAACTTTATTTGATATTGCTTATTAAAATTGACAACTCAAATTTGAGTAAAAGTATGATATGTGGCATAATTATAAATTTTGAAACTATTATGTCACTGCAAATTATCATTAGATATTTGAGTGAAAAAAGGTCTTCCATTATTTGGGTCAAAATTTGAGTAAAATTTATTTTTGTATGAGTTTGTGTAAAAGAGTGGAGTTTGATTTTTGTTCTTTTACTTAAATTTAAGTTTGATACAAGTAAAGGATAAAAATTGGAGATGTTCTACCTACTCTTTTGGTTTTTTTTTTTTTGTCAATTACTTACATAACAAAAATGAGTAAGTTTGTCTCACTTTCTTAATTGACTTATGCTGTGTTTCATTGGGGGATTTGAGGGGGAGATTTGGAAAGAAAAATAGAAAAGGTAGGTGAAATGTGAATAAAACATACCTATGTTTCACCTAGTTTCACACACCTTTTCTTTTTTCCTTTCCAAATCCCTCCCCAAATCTCCCAATCAAATACATCATTAGAATATTTTGTATCACATGGTGATCCAAATGTACATATATAGTGCTAAAAAATAATTATCCATAAATAATAATTATCCATAAATATATATTTATTCTATCTTTATATGTTGGAGGGTTTTTTTATCATTTTTTTTTTATACATATGCATAAAGACAGGTAGGGGATATTCATCAATTGGTCCCCCTTTTCTTTCCATTATCTCTCCTTATCCTCCGCAGTACCTTTGCTTCTGGTCCTTATTTGTTTGAGCTATTTCCACTTCTTTTTTATCTTTCCTCGTTTGAGGTTTCAAAATTTCAGATCGATCAACATTGGTCGGATGAGTCACTACAAGAAAACACACCTTTAGTGACTAAATTTTTAGTCGTTAACAGTCTTTTTTTGGTCGTCAAAAGTCGAATTTTCACTTTTCCCGACTAAATATTTTTGTCGCCGGTTTTGTCGCGAATAAACCGTCGCAAATATCTTTGGCGACTAAAAAAGTGTAAGTCGGCAATATACAGATCTTTAGCGACCAAAGAATTTGTCGCCAATAGTCAATTCTATTTTTGGAAATTATACATTTAGCGACTAAAGAAATTATACTTTTAGTCGCCGATAGTGAATTTTTTTTTTTATTTATACATTTGCCGACTATTTTTTTCGTCGCCAATAGTCAATCTTTTGGCGACCACCCCTCGTTTGTTCCCAGGTTTCAAACCTGAGACCTCCTACATTCCAAATATTTACCAACACACCCTCCCCACTATGCCACTACAACATCACATGAATATAAATGCAACATATATTATTTATATATTACTTTGACCGGTATTAATACAAAACTATATATATAAATATAATTATATATTCATATAATTTGTGTAAAAAATAAATTATTTAGTAAAAAAAAAATTAGATCACTTTTGGCGACTAAATCCATAATTTAGTCGCCAATTCTATAATTTTGGGCTACTAATTAATTTTCAGTCGCTAAAAAAATATGTTCGGCCTAAAAACGTCCCCTTTTGGCGATTGAACCTGTTTTTAGTCGCCAAAAACGTCCCCTTTTGGCTATTAAAGTGAATTTTAGTCGTCAATTGACTGTTTTTAGCTACTAATTTTTTTTAGTAGCCAAAAAGCTTGACTTTCAGCGACCAAACTGTTTTTAATCGCCAAAACACGTAGAATCGGTGACCAAACTGTTTTTTAGTCGCCAAAACCTATACTTTTGGCTACTAAATGTTTTTAGTCGCCAAAAACCTTAACCTTTGGCTACTAAAATTTTTTTAGTCGCTAAAACCCCTATATTCGGCGACTAAACTGACTTTTAGTTGCTAAAACCCTTATATTCGGCGACTAAACTCTTTTAGTCGGCAAAAGTGACCAATTTTGGTGACTAAAATTAGTCGCCAATTCTACTACTTTCAGCGACGAAAAATTCAGTTTTAGTCGCCAAATCTGCTTTTTGTTGTAGTGAGTTTGGGTATACTCTTGGATACAATGCAATATTTACCATCTATTGGTAACACATTTCAAATACTATCTGGTGTGGCACAATAACAACTATAAAAATTTATGTCAAAGTCATCCAGTTTCATATAATTGATGTATAATAGTCGAGTTCAATACTTTGTGTTGTAGTTTAGCTCGGTAGCAGTCATGTGAAATATTTTTTGCCAGTGATAACACCATAGATTGATAATATCTTTAAGCGAGTTTGGTTATAGTTTTCATTTTTGAGTGAAAATAATTTTAATTAAAAATTTATTATTATTTCTTATAAAATGGATTGTTTTTAAAAAAATCAAAAATAGTTCAAAAATAATTTGTCATTTTTTTTTTCTTTTCGTTCATATATAATGGTGCTTGCCCAATATTTGTATGGCAAAAAATAGTCACTAAAAACACACATGGTGTAGTATAATACATAGATAAGAAACAATTTATGAATAATCTTTTTTTTATTTTTTTATAATAATTGGCATTTTTAGTTGCTCTAGTTCTCAATGGAATATATAGACTTCATATTGTGTTTGTATGGAAAATGAATTAAATAGAAATACAAAGTATATAACAAACTAAAGTAGAGAAATGTGGATGAAATGAAGGAGTGCATCAAGATCATTGTGTGATCATATTTCTATTAAACTGGAGAAAAAAAATTATGAAATTTCTATAAAACCTTATATATGGTACGTATCAAATGTAAAAAAAGAAAAAAGAAAAAAAAAACTTTTAAACAATGAAAGTACATGAAATAAGAATGTTAAAATAGATTTTGGTGTTAGAAAAAAAATACAAAATAATAAATATATCATTAGAAAAAAGTTAGAAGTAATACCAATACTAAAATAAGAAAAATTCTTCAAGACGGTATGATCATATATGCATTATAGATCAATTTACACCCTTGTAAAGGGAAATAATTTGATTCAGGTAGAGGGTATTAAAAGAAATAAAAGAAGCTCAAAAAAACATTTATTAAAATGATAACACATTATATTATTACCTTAAACTTAAGAGAGAATATTACTTCAAATTAAACATAATATCTTCATGTTACATCATATAACCATCCTAAATAATTGGGATGAAGACCTATTGAATGAACTATCGTTCTCACACATTCTTCACAAACATAATATCCTGAAAAAATATATTTATTATTTTGAGAATTAGATTGAAGAATTGACTTGGTAAATGAAGTGTTCTTTTATTAAACCTAATGTATGATTTAAATCTTATTATTTCGAGTGCTCTTCCATATTAATTTCATGTCTATGGTAATATATCTGCATATATACTATGAGATAAGTAATAGCATGATTTAAATCTTATTATTTCGAGTGCTCTTCCATATTATTCTCCTATCTATGGTAATACGTCTATATATATACCATGAGATGAATAATAGGCCACATGTAAATTCTAGCTAAATAGGTGCAAGGCCCCGTTTATTTTTAGAGTTAAAATGGAGGGGATTCATATTGAGAAGATTGTTAGTGAAGGGATTAAATAAAATTATGTTTGTTTTGATGATAGTTATTAGTGTAGAAATTGTTAAATTATTTTTATATAAAATAATAAAACAAATAAAAAAATATAAAAAATTAAAAATTAATATTTTTAAAAAAATCCCAATATATAAAAAATAAAAAAAAAAATTTCTAATCCCCTCACTATTTTTCTAATACTATCTCCACCTCCTCCATCTCAATCCCCATTCTAACCTCCATCTATATCACTTCTTCCATCCTAATCCCCTCCCCAACTCTACAAACAAACACAATACTAAATAACCTCACTTCTATCCTAATCCTCTCCCATCTATTTAACCCCCAAAACAAACGGGCTAATGGTTTCAGACATAGGAATGATTTGATACAATTTCTAATAAGTTGAAAGCCAACAATTAAAAACCGTAAGTTAAAAGCATGTTTCTTTCTATTAGAAAAAGGTACCTCAAATACTTTTTCTATAAATTTAAAATAAAATAAAGCAAAACAAACAAACAAATAAAAATATATAACAGAGGTAATTGAATTTCAGAGGGTTCCTTGTGCTTTAAACATGCAATAGAAGGGAAAAAAATTAATTAATTAATTATCAATTAGCACCGCTGATCAAAAAATATATATTTCACCAAATTTGCTTCCATGTGATTACACGTTACGTTATCTTATCCCAAATTCCAAAAATTACAAGTGCCTAGGAAAATAGTATTTTATTTGCCCATTTGAAAACTATTAAAATAAATAAACGAAATTGCTTATACCCTTTGCATTGTGATAGCACAATACGATCGCTAATAATAATAATAATAATAATAGTAAAGTATTTTTTTAGAAAAATATTTTAAATTGACATGTCTTTTAAAATAATAGTTATAGTTCTAATTTATACGAAAAAATTATCAAATTAGAGCATTGCGTGTTGTTTTTGCAAAAAAAAACACAAAATAATTTTTTCTCACTAAGACTCCACTCGAGAATTTAAGAGAGAAAAGAAAATAAATTATTATTTAAGTTAGGGAAGAAAAAATAAAAAGTTTGTGTGTTGTTCTCTTTCTTTTTTGTTTGAATAAATTAGAAAGAATAATTATTTATCTTTTGATTTAATTATTTTTATTTTTTTTTTTTAAATTTATCCCCTCCCCTTCTTTTTGTCTCTTTTTGTTAAGAAAAATGCTTTATACCACTAATTTAGCACCACTAATGCACCACTAATGATGTGGCATCATGTGGACCCCACCACTGATGTGATAGTTTGACCTTTGTTTTATTTTTTTTTATTTTTTTTTACATTGCCACATCATTAGTGATGTCTTTAGAGCTTTAAATTTAGTACTCTAAATCACCACTCTTTTGTTAATTATAAAAGAATTTAATTAACTTAGTGGTTCTCTTTGTCATATACTAGTAAAGTGTGTTTTGTGTGCATAGGACAATTACATTAAATTAAACTTATGT